GTGTGGCTCTAATTCACCACTTCACCATCTGTGTCGCAGTTTCACGTCTCCAACCAAAAACGAGCGTACGCATGGGTCAAAGTCGGCGTGAGGCACCGCACATTTTCACGTCAAGTTTGGATTTTATAAATCACAACCTTGGCGTAAAAAGTGGCGTACGCAAGTTTCTGGGCTCAAATTGTGCGTACGCCAGTTTTATAAATCCGACCCCTGGTATTTTCCACATCTYTGCAGACAGTGGCCTGGATGCTGAAAGCAGTGGGTGATTTATAAATCGCAAAGCAATTACAGCTCCTTGCTGTCAGGACATGTCTCAATTTATATATATATAAAAAAGAATACAGACATCAYACATTGAACTTTACATAATATTTGTCTGCATTTTTTACCATCTGTTCAATTTTAAAGCCCTAGTTATTGTATTATTTGATCAGATCAAGATTTTTTTATTTACAATGATATAAAACACATATACTGTATAAATTTAGTGAACTTATTCAGCACTGAGTAGAAATTGTAATAATTGGTTGAAGGTAGCTGGAGGAGATTACTGTTCTGTGACCAGAGGGAATGGGTGGATGAATATGGATCAAAAAGGTCCTTCAAATAAATCTGGTGAGGTCCCATTGATGCATGAGTTATTAGTTGATGGGTAATGAGAGCAATCTTAGATGGAATTCTGTAGGAAGCCAGTAAAGGTTATGGAGAATGGGTGTAATATGTTCTGATTTACAAGCTCAAAAAAATCTATTGAMGTTTTTGAAGATTTTTACCAGAGAGTCTAATAAACAGGGAGTTGGAGTGGTCAAAAAAACGTCTAGGGGGTCATTTGACAAGGTATTTTTTTACTTATACATTTTTATTTAACTAATGCTATTTATGTCACTAAAACACTTTAAAATGTTCAAAATATGTTTAATTTGAAAGTAAGAACATAGGTTGGAACAGTAGTAGAGGGCAGCTGGCTTGGAATTGGAAAGTTGCMTGTTTAATTACCGGTCATGCTCATATGTCGTGGTGCCCTTGAGCAAGTARRTCTTCTACTMACTCAGCTGCTCCACTTGAAGGTATCTCATGTGTGATGTAAACTCCTGTCTTGCTGTTGTGACCAACATGACCGAGATCAGGCTGCCATTARAGCTCTGTCCATTCAGTTCTTCAGCACACGTTGTCCTGCTGCTTGAGCAGTCAGAGACTTGGAGGAGTCGCAGGGCGAACACAAACACACACAAGGTCTGTCCACAATGTGTTTGTAAGAATCTGGGCAGGACTGGTGTTGTCTAATCCTTGGAGAAAATGTTTACTTTTTTTTCTTTCTTTGTTAAAGAAACAAAAAGCTTATTGTTAACAACAAAATAAGACTTTTCTGTGATTTCTTTAATACTTAAAGTGCAGCACATTTAAAAGGTTTGAAACTTTTACATAAATCTTTTGCTCTTTAACAGCACGTTTCCGGTGGATACCTTAAAGTTTTGGGCATTTTCCCAACCAAACAAACACATTTCAATACCTAAATGATGTGGTTTCTTTAAACTAAATGTAGTTTTGTAAAATATTTTAATTTATAGCCACATAAAGCTTTTGTTCTTCTGAATCAATTTGAGTCAAGTTCAGTRATTTAATAACATAATTAATGAGTAGAATTGGATTTACATACGTGGATAGTCTTTATGGCAGCTGACACTAACCAAAACAACTCATCCTATTATTTTCTGTTGAAGATCATATCGAACTTTTATTTTGTAAAATTCTTGTTAATAATAAAAAGGGTGTTTTAAATAATTATCGGTTTAAAATTTTCTAACCTGTAAACATGGCGGTGTTGGTCATTATTTCTTCCTGTTTTTCCTACAGGTTGGAGATGCAAGCGCTACGGACACAGGACAGGGGACAAGGAGTGTCCTTTTTTCATCAAAGGCAACCAGAAACTGGAGCAGTTCAGAGTGGTGAGTTTATACATGTTACAGAACAAAACAAACAAATAATGAAAGGGTCGGACAACCGAAGCTGAGGTTTGTATTGGGCGTGGGCTGCAGACTTAACACAGCTTGCTCCAGTTTGAACTGAAAGAAAAACCTGCGCAGAAACTCAGCCTCTGCAATAATTACCATAAATGCAGTTTTTACATCTTTTGTACCATCTGAATAATCTGAAAAGTGCTTACACAAGACTGTTAGAAATATGCTGTTGCTACACTTTAAGACACAGTGAACTGCAGTGATTCTTTTTTTTATCTTTTTATATTTTAGGCTCATGAAGACCCGATGTATGACTTAATTAGAGAAAACAAACGGAATGAAAAAGAAACCAGGTATGCGTGTGTTTTCTGTTTTTGTAACAAGTATATACCTTATGTGTACGCAGATTTATCACTGAGCAAAACGTTTTTCATGGTATAAAACAAAACAGGTATTTTTGAGGCTGCAGTCAATAATAGTCAAAATCATCTTCCACTCAAGAACCTTCAGTTTTTGACTGTTGCCCCTCAGAGTTGGACAATCTCAGCTGACCTGGAAACAATCTCACGGTGGCTTGCTCCCTGCGCCGCTTTCTAACAAATAGTGTTTGACACCAGGATGTTTGAGGCTGAGGGTAGTGCACCATGAAGGCTGTCTGTAGGAGTGCTTTAGTTTGCATTACAAAAAGGATATTTAAAGGCCAGATGTGTTTTTGAAGTTTAAGTTGCGAGTCTGACCTAAGTTTTGGCTTCTTTAGTCAACTGCTCTCAGCTGCTTGTTTGAATGCAGGTCCAGTGTTTTATCACACTAGACAGAAGAAAATTTCGCTATGTATATTTTTTTCATCTCGGCTATATATTCAATTTAATTCTTAGCATTACAGTATGCATATGTGCAAAAGAGGGTTTCAGTACATTTCTTTTGAATTCCATCTTCAGTGTTGGACTAACTTTTCATAAGTTGTGACAGGCCTTTAGTTTGATTGGTTTCCATCTAACTTCTACTTTTTTCTGTTGTCGTTTTAACTAACGTTTCCAACATTTTGAGATCAATTTATTCTTGTAATGTCCCAAATTATCTGTGTTTTATAAATGTAATAAATTAGTTCTGTTCTGTGTCTGAGAGAAATAATTTCTTGTGCATTTTTATGAGCACTTCCTTCTCTAAATCTCCTGGTTTATGTCTGCCCTGAAAAAATTATATCTGCCCACACTTTTTTTTCTTTTTTAGGACCCAGCTTTATTTCTGAACAAAATGACTCCTAAAAATATTTTTCTGAACCTCCATGTGAAACTTCTTTAGTCCCAAAACTATTAATTTGAAATGGTTTTAGTAGGGCTGCAACGATTAATCGACGACTAATCGATTCTTAAAATAATCGATGACTAATTTAATAATCGATTAATCTTTTTTTTTTGTTCTTTACTTTGTTTTTCTCTCCAAACTGCTTTGACACCTTCCACTGCCACATCTGCCTTTCTGTCCTTGACACACATGCACAGTAGTGGTAACTGGGGTAGGCCGTGGACGTCACAAGACATTATACNAATATCTGCAGAGCAGAACTTGCCTTCCACAGCAATTATTTTTAGTTAGCATATAGCTAAAATCTAACGATGATTATATAATAGCAGCTGCATTCTGGTGTGATAAGCTGTATGTTTTATATTCAATTAACGTGTGATCCGATTAGTCGACTAATCAAAAAAATAATCGGTGATTAATCGATTACAAAAATAATAGTTTGTGGCAGCCCTAGGGTCATACAATGTTTTAGTCAAACAGAACCAACAAGAATGAAACAAAATGTAAAGAATTAGAGAAAAAAATTAATGTTAAATGTAAATAAATTCTAATTATAATAAATTAATAATAGCTTTACATCTAAAAATCATATTTTATCATTTTAATCAATTTTCCTCATTCAGAAACCTATTAAATTTCTGTTATGTTTCATGTAGGACAAACACACATTTGTTTTCAGTCAGTATTTAATACAGCTGGCAAAATAAATTGTTAAAATATGTATTATGTGCTTCTGTTTTTTAATTCAGGAGATTATAAAAAAAATCCTTCATTTTATGGGAAGACCCTCTTGATTCAAGAGAAAACTCTGGTTTTTAAAAAAATGGCTGCTTATCAATTAATTGTTAATCTATAAGATAAATCAACTTCAGATTAATTCATTATCAATAACTTGCATCCTTAAGGAGTTAACTTAAACTATATCTACTCATATTCATGTAATTAAGCGTTTTAATGATTTGGCCGATTAATCGATTAATCAAAAAAATAATCAACAGATTGATCGATTATTAAAATAATCGTTAGTTGCAGCCCTAGGTTTTAGACCCGACTATATTTAGTAGACATTTATTTAACAGACATTTATCCCTTTTTTCCCCTGAAATCATAAAACTATCACAAAGTGGAGCTGCTTGTGTTGCTACTGCAAATATAAGCACAATCCTGGAGTGGGGATCGGTTAGAGGCAGGGGTCTTCTCAAGCCCACCACTGCAGCTGATTCAGCTCAGGTTTTCTTTGCCCAGCTGAAGGAGCGTGGTGCGTGAGGTGGCAGGCTTATTTTGATTTGAGTTTATTTGTAAACTAATCAAATCGTGTCACCGGTAAAGTCCGAGTAATTAATCCTCTGCACATGTTGACGTGTTGTTTAACAAAACAGTGAATTCCCATATTACCTGTGAATTAATGATTGTAGACAAAACACGTACTTATTGTCCACAGAGTCCAGAAAGACATTAAAAAGCACTTTGTAGAACATAGATAAGGGTAAAAGGTGCAGCATAAGTGCTTTCCTTTTCAGCCTTCTATTGATTCAGGCTGTTATCAGGCAGCTGGAGTCTGTCGGTGTTTGGAGTGGATTTTTATAAAGAATGAAGGTTTTTCTCTTTTTTTTTTTATTTCAGAGAGCTGGAATGGAAAATGTGAATTATTCCAGGCATATTATTAACATTTAGTTTTGTCAGAAAAAAAATTAACTTACTATAGACTATATATGTCTTTTATCTGCCACCTTTTGTAAACTGATTGTCCAAATGTTTATTTTGTGAATTTAATGCCTGATGAGCTGTTTTATTTTCTAACTGAAGAGTTATGAATAATTTCACAGCTAASCCAGAGCAGAAACCTTTTCACCTTTTTGAATTTCAATAGGAAACTCTATTTTAAAGCTTATCTCTAGGTTACTGTGTGGTTTTTAATTTGAGCACAAGATGCACTCATGCTTCTGTTCCTATCACTCTTGATGTTCCAGTAAGAGGCCGTCTGCTTCACTCAAATCTCACGCTCGACTTTCTTTAGTGTCTGTCAGATGCTGCAGAACCGTCTCTCTCAGCCGAGCTGTGCACAGTCACTGTTCTTCATAAACGTGCCCACAGAGTCCTGAACGATCATTTGGTGCGTACTGTACAAGRCAAAGGTTCTGCCAGGGGCTCGTGCACAGAATGGGTCATAAGAGGCAGTGTGAGAAGAAAAACACAATTTTTGTCTCACAACCTTGTCAGTGAAATAATTTTTGCAGTTCTAAGAAAGTATGAACCAACCTTAAGTCGTGCRAGTTTTATTTTTATTTTATTTTTTTCTCAATTTGACCAAATTGGTATCACTTTGGCTGCTGWTCACTGCAGGTAAGATACTGACTGCTTATTACTCCACCCAGCGTTAATTCAAAAACAACAMATTAAAGCAAATGCAAGGCCCGCGGGCCAAATCTGGAACCTCGTTACCATTTAATCTGGCCCCAAAGGTAATACTTAAAATGTGAAATAGTTTAATGGTTTCTYTTTTTGTCGCTGTATTTAGTGCTTTTTTTCTCATGGTAAAGGTCAACTGACAAGCCAAGAAAATGAAGTTAGAAWTTTTCAATAATCTTGATTTTAATGTGGAGAGCAACAGAGAATCTAGTTATCTTTTTCTGTATTCCCTTCTTTTTTTAAAAGYCACATAATTGGATTTTTAGTGAGTTCTTTTTATTTAATTTAAATTTTTTTACTAATTTGCTGGATTGTGATAATGTATCTCTAAGAAATAATAAAATATAAAGTTGTTGATAGAGAATAAGGTCTAAAGAAATGAAGGCTAAAGATGTGGCTTTGTAAATGTAATCGTTTTTCTTTTTCTGTTTGGTTATTTATGTTCTAATTATCACCTAAAATACAGTTTGGAAACAATATGGAAAAGGTAATTTGTATTTTGTTAACATATTTCAGGTAATATCGACAGATTGTCTCTTGGCTTGGACCAAGTTTTAAATTTTGGGCCCCTTGTGTAATTGAGTTTGACACCTCAGGGTGTTTTAGTGCGTTCCCCCAACTTCAACATTTTTAACATTTACCCGAGTAATGTCCTTAGTTACTAGAAGAATGCTTTGGGCATGGCTAACAGTCCTGAGGTGCCAGAATTTGGACAAAATACCCTCYTGCTTGCCTGAAGTGGGGACCTGTGTGGAGTATAATCTGTAGGATTTTATTCCTCAGGCTGTAACACCTCCTGTCCTCTCCTCTGTTTTCTTCTCGCTGCTTATAGGATCCAGCAGCTGCAGCAGCTGCTTCAGGACACCACCTCTTCCTCTTCTTCCTCCTCCGACTCCGACTCAGACAGCTCATCGTCCTCAGGCCACTGTCGCAAGAAGAAGAGAAAAAAGAAGGACAAGAAGAAAAAAGAGAAGAAGAAGAGGAGGAAGAAGCGAAAGCACAAGTCCTCTAAATCTAGTGACAGCTCAGATTCAGATTGAGACTTTATCAACATAAATAATGTAAACGTTAGATGAGACTTAAAGATACAGCAGTGACTGTAGACCGCAGACTGTGAAACAGCAGAGTGTGATGAGGGTGCAGGCTGCAAGCTGAAATATAAGCTTTATTTACTGCGCCTGACTTCTGAAGCATTTCTTTTACCACCGGACGATGACTCGGTCAGATGAGGTCTATGCTTTGATGCATCCTGGTGTGAAGCATTGTCTGCATGAACATTAAAGAGAACCGAGTCTAATATATAAAAACTATTTCCCTCATTAGAATGCATCTGGAAATATTACATAATCAAGATTGTATTTTCCACAGTTTTATATCTAAGTGGGATTAAAAAGTGATTGTAGCATATTTAATCCACAACAATACAATAGAAAAGCCAAAGTAAAAAGTCAGGGGTCAGCTGGAATGTGAAAGAAAGCCTGAAATGGTTGTAAACCAAAACAAATGGAAAAATTTAAAGTCTGAATTTACTTATTTGTTTTGAAAAAGAACTGAACGTTTGTGAATAAATTCCTGTCGTAAATAAGGAAGTCATTGTTTCTTTCCAAAATTTAGTCAGAATTTAGCTGAAAAAACAAACAGATTTTATCACTTAGTCCTCGACTTAATTTGACATGTTTGTGGTTTTTATTGTCCTGATAGGTTGAAAACTGCTGCAAAAAAACTGCACTATTGAAATTAATGCCTTTTATGAGTTATTGTCTGGCTGATTCTAATAGTGTTTCTTAAAAACTTTTCCACYCAGTAATCCTCATAAAACTGTTTTYCATTGACAACCTACCRACTTGTGTGCTTCGATAAAGTAAAGGAGGAGAGACTAGTGGCTCCCCTACAGCTTCATCGACACGAGTTAGACTTGTAGGCCACATTTGAGGAAGTTTGATGACTTTTTCCTTTCCAGGCAACACGTGTCCCTGTGGAAATATACTGGAAACATTCCCTCTTCCTAACGACCCTGATACAGAGACAATTACAGTCGACCCACAGGGAGCCAGATTTCCATTTAGATTCGAGTCCCGAGTTCCAACAGCTGAAGAAACGTGCATTTCTGTGAGGAATTTCATCAAAGTGTGTTCGATAACGCAGTCAGGAAAGCAGTTCGCTTTGCTGATTCATGCACACGTTTACAGTTTAGACTTTTTACTCTCTTTAGGTGTGAACTTTCCCTGGCAGCTTTAATGCTCCGATTGATTCGGTTTAAATAAATCCATTGAAGCCGTAAAGTTTCCCTTCTGTTCAGCACGACGAATCTCTGCGGAGATTCAGTCACAGAGGGGAGGCATGGCCACATGGAGAGATGAGCCAATGGAATGTTGTTTTATYGAAGCACTCTGTCATTTTGGACAAAAGGCCGGTCAGACTTCATGTCCCCACCGTGACGGAGTTTCAACACTGCAGATTGTGAGTGCTCGGATTGTTCTGCAGGCTTTCAATCAGCCCAGTTATCAGATTTGTGGAGGGAAAGATGTGACCGCAGGATGGAGGGTTTCATCTTTTATTATCTACAATAAAGGGAAGAATTCACAACAAGAACTTTTAAGGGATCACCACCAAAAAAGAAAAAAACGCAGGTTGCAGCTCAGAAAAAAAAATACTTTGAGAATCTTTCTGTTGATTGAAAAACATATAAGAGCCCGCTCCACCACATCATCTGTGAAACCTGGTGGTGCTTCTGTGGTGGCTTGAGCGAGCCTCTGATAATAGAACTGGCACAGCAGCATTAATTGTTTCGCTGCTGACAGAATGGAAACAGGATGGTATGGAGGAGACTTCTGTGCACTCGCATTCAGCCAAATGCCTCTAAACTCCAWGTCGCTATTTTTATCGTTCAGCCGRAACAACTTTCGACGGCGTGAGAAACCAAAGAACTTTGCCAGTCGCCTGATGATTTAACTGAAGTGTAGCCTACGTGCTGAAAACCAGAATAAAAGTAGAAAGACAATCTCTACATCAAACTGGACGTTTTTATGTACTTTATTGTGGCACCCATGGTTTCATTAGAAATAAAATGGGCACAGAAATGTAACAAATACATGATACAATCACCACATAGACATGTGTGGGCCACAACTGGCCCGGTTTTGGTTTGGTTTATGTGCTGCTGACCCATTCAAGGACCCCCTCTGGCAAACCACACCTGGGYCACCAAAGGGCCATCRCTCTTTGGGGTATCTGGGCTGAGTGTTAGTATGTTAGTGCATTGTGTGGGCCAGAACTGGGCCAGACAAATGCTTTGTGGGTATAATAACATCACATGATWCAATACTATATGATAAAATACAAAATAGTATATAATTTATGAAAATATATTGTAGATTATATAATAAAGTCTGCTACAATATATTATGTAATACAGTATGTGTTAAATATGTATTTGAGATACATGTATTATGATATACACAAGATATTTTACACAACATGACCTGTACTGTATATGACATGATATGAGACATATGATGTCATGTGACATGATAAATAGGATATGATGACTATCTATATATGATATGAAATTTGTTTTATGACATGACTGATAAGATTTATATGATACATATATGGCATGATATGATATTGACATGACATATACAGCAGGTAAAATAAGTATTGAACACGTCACCATTTTTCTCAGTAAATATATTACTAGAGGTGCTAATGAC